CCTGGTTTGTTGGTGCAGGCATAGTATATATGTTGTGACCATCTGAGTTGTTTTTCTGCCATATTGTCAAGGAGAAGGTTTAGTTCCACCCTGGTAGCTTCAATTGTTTACACAGAGAGACAGAGCGGGACGCGTTAAATTAGGCTTCCAACTCTGCAAGGCGATAGGACAAGAGTTTCTTTTCTTCTTCTTGCAGGATGCAAGTTGTATAAGTTTCCCTCTAAGTGTGACTTTGTTAGATTCCCACAAAATCATGGGGGACAAAACCGATTCAGTATTGTCAGTGAAGTAAGTGGAGATAGAGTCCTGGATGGCTTCAACTGACTCGTCAAAAGATAGCAGGGAGTTGTTAAGACACCAGGAAGAGTGTTGAGTCACAGAAGCCATCGATTTACAGATGAGTAAAAGTGACAAGTGATCAGACCAGGATATGGACAGGGTCTTGACATTAAAGATGTCCGGGATGAAAGTTTGAGGAATAAAAAAAATGGTCTATTTGTGTGTGGAAAATATGAGCCACCAACTAGTAAGTATAATCCCACACTCTAGGGTTAAACTCCCTTCAGGCATCCACCAAAGCATGTTCAGACAAAAGGTCTGAGAATCGCTTTGCTTGTGAGTTAGCTTCGGTAGAGGCCTGGGATGGGCAGCCGAGGGGGATCGGTCTAACTGCCTATTCAGTACCATGTTACTGTCCCCCATCATGATCAGACTGCCCTTCCGGTGTGAAAACATTACCCGCGGTAAGTGAGAAAAAAAATCGGGACTGGTGAGTATTGGGGGCATAATAGTTAACTATGGTAACTTGAACATCTAAGATTGTCCCCTGTAGTATTAGATACCAACTTGTAGGGTCCACGATTTCAAGGGAGCATATGAAAGGAGAGCTTTTATGAAATGTCATTAAGACCCCTCTTCGTTTTTTTCTCAAAGATCACCTGGAACAACCTGGTTTTTGTGGAAATATTTGAGGACGGAGGAAGTGGAAAATCTGGTTTCTTGCAGTCCTATAACATGGGCTCAAAGTGAGGCACAGTAATTGAGGCACACTTACGTTTCCGGGGAGAGTGAAAACCATGTACATTATGGGTCACCAGCTAGAAGACACAATAAAGGTCCAGCCAAGCTCAAATATGGTAGACTTGAGCGTTTCGACATCCAGGAAAAACAAGAAAATAAGGAAGACTGAGAGAGAGAATATAGTAAGAGAAGGAATGGTGGGCTCAACCTCAAGGATGTCAAAGCAGAAATTGCCTAAGCAATCAACGGCGATGACCGTATGCACTGCCATAGTTGGGGGTTTCCGGGGCCGACTGGGCACACATTGCCATAAAACCATTGCCATATAACCATAAAAACATGTTGGATAAAAGTAGCAAAACTATTGCCTGACCTTGGGGAAAAGGAGGGAGGGGAGGAAGGAAGGAAAGAAAGAAAAAGAAAAAAAAAAAGGGGAGGGAGGGGGGAATGGAGGAGAGAAGCATGTGAATATCAAAACACGCTTATGCGCATGCTCATGAGCAGATACAAATAGTACCAGTGAAAAGATGTGGGAGGTCACTGCCTATCCAAGTGGGGCCAAAAGGCAAAATAGTTAACAGGGTCCAGCACCCATGATCTAGAGTAACCTAGTGGTTAAAGTCTTAGGCTGGTTTAGAAGTAAGGTCTTATGGCACAGCTCCTATGGATTGGAGCAAATAGAAGGTTGTAAAATACTAGGAGGTCCCCGAGGGTGGCAGCGAGCTCCCAGAAGTAAATAAAAACACAGTAACATGTATATTGAGGAACAAGAATCTAAGACCATAGTCATGAACATGGACAGAAACTAGTATGTTCAGGTCTACGGGACTGTCCTGTAGCATTTTAGTGGTAGGTGCGTGGGTTTAAAAAATGGAAGGATGGTGGAAATTCAGTCTTCATCAGGGACTTCGGGTCTAGGGCCTAGGTGCAGGATGTCGTCTTCAGGAAGAGGTTCCCAAAGAGGAGTGAGGCAAGGAGACTTGCAGGAGGAAGATTGAGATGCCTGTGAGCCAGTAGATTTTGGTAGCATAAGCTGCAGCTTGGTAAGGACTTCCTGAGCTTCTTCCAGCATGGTGAAAGCATAAGGATGGCCTTGAGAGGAAAAGGTTAGTTTGAATGGAAAATTTCAGCGACATTTAATATGGTGGTTTTGTAATGTCTGGACAAAGGGCTTCAATTCCTTGCGTCTCAGGAGTGTTCGTGGAGCCAGATCAGAGAATATTTGGTATTTGTGGGATTGAAAAGTCTACTGCCTCTTAGACCAGGCCACTTGCATGACAGCCTCTTTGGTTTTGTAAAAAGTAGGTTTGACTATGATGTCGTGGGGGGGACCTTGTATTGAATTGTAGCTGTTTTGTAAGTATTGGGTCCCTGTGGTGGCCCTTGAGCTTTGAATAATCCCATTTATTATTTATTGTGTTACATACTTTAAATTGATGTTCTACATTACAGATATTCATTTATGCATCTACTCCTGAGGAAGCAAACTGAGATTTGAGAAACGCATCAAGGATGTATTTTTCAATTTTATTATGTATTGATATTTGGAACATTTTTATTATGGAATTATTATGAATCAGCTTGATAATATTTTATTGATTTTTCAAGTATTGTAATGACAAATTGTGTATCACAAAGATCAAATAACATTGTATCAAAAAGATTGTACTGTAATGCTCGCCTCTGTATGAGTGGTCAGGGAATGTGTGTAGCATCACCTATAGCGGTCCTTGTTCCTAAAAGACAAACAAGCCTAGCTTAATGGTATGTGGTTGCCGAAAGGAAAGCTATGTTCAATGGCCAGGAAGTACAGGAGGCTGAACAATGTGTGAACAATGGAGTCCATGTGGTTCCAGGAGTGCAGTTGTTCTCAGGAGATGGCTGGGAACTGTGTCTTGCAGGAACGTAGTCAGTGGGATGTGCAGATGGGTCAATTCAGGTGGTAGGCAGAGATATGGTCAATAAACAGGCAAACGATCAGTCCAGGCAGCAGGCAGAAACGTAGTCAACAAACAAGCAGCAGTACAGGTGACAGATGGAGGCAACACTACACTGGTGTGGTGATCTGTTGCATGCTGTACTGGCTCTGATGACAATGTCACTGGTGTGATTAGTGATGAGGAACATTGTTGTTTGAGGGTACACTAGTCTGGTGACACCGAGACTGATGTAGCTAGCAATCAGGAACACAGTTGCTGGCTTTCAATGGTCTGGCAGCACTGGGACTGGTGTGTTGGCATCAGGAACACTGTTTATGGTTTACACTGGTCTGCTGACACTGGCACTGGTGTGGTGACAATCAAAAACACTCTTGCTGGCGCTCACTTGTTTGGGGACACTGAAACTGATGTGGGGGCAATCAGAAACACGGTTGCTGCCTTACACTGGCCTAGTAACACTGGCACTGGTGTGGTGGTGATCAAAAACACTGTTGCTGGCTTACACTGGTCTGGTGACATTGAGACTGGTGGTGGGGGGGATGATCAGGAACACTGTTGCTGGATTACACTGGCCTGGTGACATTGGTGAGGTGGCGTTCAGGAACGTTGTTACTGGCTTACACTAGTTTTGTGACACTGGCACTGATGTAACAGTAATCAGGAACACTGTTGTAGCTGCATTGATCTGGTGGCACTGGGGCTGGTGTGGCTGTGATGACGAACACTGTTGCTGACTTATATCTGTGTAGTCCTCCCACGCTCTAGTTATCCTAATATATATGTAAAGCTGCTAACACCTTACCATATACTAAATGGGAAAATACTAAATGAGGAGTAATTGGTGCTGCGCTAATTCTAAATATGTATAAATGTCTATAAGAAATATTCCTCACAATATATCTTGCATAAAAATATATATAAACCAAATCACAAAAAATAAATTATTGAATAGAATACACATGAAACATCCAAAATGGTGTTTAACAGTGAAAAACATCCAAAATATACAAAAGTTGTAACTTAGGTACACCACTAATAATAAATAGGTGGCTATGGGTGAAAATAATACTACTTATTACCATAAATGGTGCCAACATAAACAGTGATATGATCCGTAAATAGGATCCCAACAAGACCGTGCTTAATAAGCACTAGATTTTTTGTGATTTGGTTTATATATATTTTTATGCAAGATATATTGTGAGGAATATTTATTTTAGACTGTTGCTGGCTTACTCTGGTTTGGTAACACTACGACTTATGTGGCAGCGATCTGGAACACTGTTGCTGAATTACACTGCCTGGTGACACGAAGCGCCGCGATATAGATATATATATATATATATATATACACACACACACACACACACACACACACACTATATTGCCAAAAGTATTGGGACGCACATGGACTATAATGGCATCCCAGTCTCAGTCCATACGGTTCAATATTGAGTTGGCCCACCCTTTGCAACTATAACAGCTTCAACTCTTCTGGGAAGGCTGTCCACAAGGTTTATGAGTGTATCTATGGGAATGTTTGACTATTCTCCCAGAAGCGCATTTGTGACGTCAGGCACTGGTGTCAGATGAGACAACCTGGTACACGGTCTCCACTCTAATTCATCCCAAAGGTGTTCTATGGGGTTGCGGTCAGGACTCTGTGCAGGCCAGTCAAGTTCCTCCACCCCAAACTCGCTTAACCATGTCTTTATGGACCTCGCTTTGTGCACTGGTGCGCAGTCATGTTGGAACAGGAAGGGGCCATCTCCAAACTGTTCCCACAAAGTTGGGAGCATGAAATTGTCCAAAATGTCTTGGTATGCTGACATCCTAAGAGCTCCCTTCACTGGAACTAAGCAGCCAAGCCCAACCCCTGAAAAACAACCCCACAACATAATCCCCCCTCCACCAAACTTTACAATTGGCACAATGCAGTCAGGCAAGAACTCCTGACAACCACCAAACCCAGACACATCCATCAGATTGCCAGACAGATAAGCATGATTTATTACTCCAGAGAACACGTCTCCACTGCTGTAGAGTCCAGTGGCAGTGTGCTTTACGACACTGCATCCAACACTTTGCATTGCACTTGGTGATGTAAGGCTTGGATGCGGCTGCTTGGCCATGGAAATCCATTCCATTAATCTCTCTATGCACTCTTGTTCTGCAAATCTGAAGGCCACATGAAGTTTGCAGGTCTTTAGCTATTGACTCTGCAGACAGTTGGCGACTTTTGCACACTGTGCACTTTAGCATGCTTTGAACCTGTAGTTTCATTTTAGGTTGCCTGCCACTTCGTGGCTGAGCTGCTGTTGTTCCCAGTTGCTTCCACTTTGTTATAATACCACTAACAGTTGACTGTGGAATATTTAGTAGCAAGGAAATTTCACAGATGGATTTATTGCACAGGTGCCAACTTATCATTGTACTACGCTTGAATTAACTAAGGTCCTGAGAGTGACCCATTCTTTCACAAATGTTTGTAGACGTCTGAATGCCTAGGTGCTTGATTGTATACACCTGTGGCCATGGATTTGATTGGAACACTTCTGGCAATATACTGCGTATATATATATATATATACACACACACACACACTGCTCAAAAAAATTAAAGGAACACTTTGAAAACACATCAGATCTCAATGGGGAAAAATATGCTGGATATCTTTACTGATATGGACTGGGTAATGTGTTAGGAACGTAAGGATGCCCCATCATTTGATGGAAATGAAAATTATCAACCTACAGAGGACTGAATTCAAAGACACCCTGAAAATCAAAGTGAAAAAAATGATGCAGCAGTCTAGTCCATTTTGCTGACATTTCATTACAGCAACTCAAAATGGTACTCAATAGTTTGCATGGCCCCCACATGGTTGTATGCATGCCTGATAAGGTCAGGGCATGCTCGCAGCGAGACAACGGATGGTGTCCTGGGGTATTTCCTTCCAGATCTGGACCAAGGCATCACTGAGCTCCTGGACGGTCTGAGGTGTAATCTGGCGGTGTCGGATGGACTGAAACATGATATCCCAGAGGTGTTCTATTGGATTTAGTTCAGGCAAGCGTGGGGGCTATTCAATGGTATCAATTTCTTCATCCTCCAGTGACTGCCTACATACTCTTGCCACATGAGGCCAGGCATTGTCGTGCACCAGGAACCCAGGACCCACTGCTAGGGTCTGACAGTGGGTCCAAGGATTTCATCCCGATACCTAATGGCAGTCAGGGTTCTATTGTCTAGTCTGTAGAGGTCTGCGTGTCCCTTCATGGATTTGCCTCCCCAGACCATCACTGACCCACCACCAAAATAGTCATGCTGAACGATGTTACAGGCAGCATAACGTTCTGCATGGCTTCTCCAGATCTTTTCATGTCTATCACAAGTGCTCAGGGTGAACGTGCTGTCATTTGTGAAAAGCACAGGGCTCCAGTGGCAAACCTGCCAATTCTGGTGTTCAATGGCAAATGCCATTGAACACCAGAAAAAATGTCAATGGCCTTCACCTGTAAAACCATTCCTGTTTTGGGGGTCCTTTTCATTGTTGCCCATCTAGTGCACCTGTTGTTAATTTCATTAACACTAAAGCAGCTGAAACTGATTAATAACCCTCTCTGCTACTTAACTGACCAGGCCAATATCCCAGGAGTTTCATTGACTTGATGCTATATGACTTAGTATGTGCAGCTGGTTAGGGAGGTAATGATGTGATCCTTCATTTATGTTTACTAGGTGTGTTTTATTTTTTTTTAGAAATTTGAACAGCTTTTGGGTTATAAAATTCCACAACTTGGCAGACAGGCTTTACAGGCTGTAAAAAAGAATGGCTGTACCACTCATTTATATATAAATGATAAAAGGCATATTTGGAGTCTTCATGTCAAACTCATGCACTTTCATACACTTTCCTTTGTAATAACATCTGCTGATCTGCACTTATTTCTCTGTGTTGAACAAGCCCTCTCACTTGTGTATATCTCTGTTAATACGAATATATATCAGCTATTGAATCCTCACTCTGCCTTATGTCCTGGCTGTGCACATTTCCACCCTTTCATTACGGCCTCCCCGGGGACCATGCTGTGCCTTCAGCAGAGAGTGTGCTATTAGCTCCAGCTCAACACCAGCTGCAGTAGCCCTGTACAATGCAAGAGGGGTCAAAGGGCCCTCAATAATGCCACATCTCAGCCAGTGCCATCTTATATTAAACTGTGCCAGCAACTGTGACTTCTTATTTTTACTTCCTTTTATACCTGGTGGATGTGTTGCTAAAAATATTGGCATAAAATTGGCTCCGTTAAACGTATGTATAATGAGGAACAATTATATATAATATCAGGCAATTCTAGTACAGTATCAATGGGATTAACAAAGAGTGGTGCATGGAGAAAAATGCACCAGTTTCTCTATGCACAAGCATTTAGCATTTTATGAGCTAAATAAATAAACGTGTTGCATGACAATTGGGTTATTTGTTGCACGATAGTTGTGTGCTGTCTGTCCATACCCATATACCCTCTTGTTCCTTCTGTTTTGCTTCTCCTCACTGTCTGCCCCTCCTCTCTACAGTAGTTACACCAATGTGCTAATGATGTACATTTTAGAACAATTTTTTAAATATCAGAACATTGGCACAAGTGCTTGATTTTTTGGCGCACACCACCAGACATTTATAGAAACTATTGCACATTACACAAGAGGACATGGATGGCACAACAACACTTTTGTAATGTGATTGTTGATTTAGTGCTCAAAAAAGTGCCAATATTTACACTAAAAATACATATTTCCCTTTGGTAAATATTTTAGGTATGTCTATAATAATGTTTTCAAGCCTAATATAACTAATGTTTTTTTTTACATGTAAGCAGTATAAGTATAATTAGTAAAGAACAATGACAACTTACGGTGCATCCTATTTTCTTCCATCCTTGCATCCTCTTTTTCATTTTTTCCATGTACAAATTCTAACACACGTTTTGCCATGCTTAGAAGTGAACAATTTGTAACAGCTGAATCACTGAATCTTTTTCTTCGAGGTTGCACTATGGGCCAGAATTTCTAAAGTGTGATGTGGGGGTACCTCTCCCTGATCCACTAACTAAAGTGAGGTGAAAACACCCATTCCCAAGTATGTTACCAATTGTTTTCTTGGTGAATCTGGTCCCAGCTGCTTGGAGATCATTGACAAGATCCTTACGTGTCGTTCTGGGATGATTCCTCATTGTTCTCATGATCATTGACACTCCACGAGGTGATTATTTTAACTGACAATTGCGCGGTCATGCAACGCCGCACCCAGATGAAATTTATGTCCTTTTTCCCCCACAAATTGAGCTTTCTTTTGGTGGTATTTGATCGCCTGTGCATTTTTTTTTGTGCTATAAGCAATATTTTTGACTTTTTGCTATTAAATATGTCCAGCAAAAAAATTTAAAAAAATCAAATTTCATCATAAATTTAGGGCAAAATTTATTCTGCTACATGTCTTTGCTAAAAAAAAAATCCCAATATGTGCAAATTAATTGGTTTACATGAAAGTTATAGCATTTACAAATGGCGGTATAGATACTGGGATTTTTTGTCTTTTTTCCTACTAGTAATGGCGGCGATCAGCGACTTTTAGTGGGACTGCGGCAGGCATTATGATATTGGGGGGGAAGCTAACTTGGTGTAACTGACATCCCCCGTGTGACACCAATACAGTTATCAGTGCTAAAAAACAGCACTGATACTGTACTAATGACACTGGGCAGGAAGGGGTTAATGTGAGGGGCGATCAAAGGGTTAACTGTGTGATGGGGGTGTTTTCCTACGGGGGCACTGTAAGCACACTGATTGAGCTGACAGGGAGGAAGACTGTTTGTAAACAAAACAGTCTTCCTCCCCGTCGGTGATTGTTGGTAATCACGGGTGCCGGCGGGTAATCACCGGCCGGGACCTGGTGATTGACATCTGCGGCCACGAATGGCGTCGCGGGTAAGCATGTGTCCCCTACCCAGAAATGCAAAATCACGTATATTTACGTGATTTTGCGCACCGTTGTGCCGTGTAGCAGTACATCTGCTATACGGCAGCGGGTAAGCGGTTTATTATTGAATAAGGTGATAATGCTTTCAACAATCAAATAATGTGCAAGCAAAATCCCGTGTTTTTATTCTCTTGTACATTGATTGTGTATTTAGCATGGCAATGATTTCACCTTATTCATTTTGCTAAGGGAATATTTTCTACTCCTTTAGTAAATTAACTCATTGTGCTTAAAGCTGAACTCCAGACAAATATACCAATAAAATAATGCTGTTGTATACTCTTTAAAAGTGCAATTTTTAATGCAACAAGTGTAAGTACCTGTTTTTGACTTGGTGCCTCTTGTAACCTCCTATAAAGCAGCACTCAGATTAGGAGAATGGGGGGCATCAAAAGGGACATGTGATATGTTTCTGACAAGAATCATGTTGACAGGAGAAGAGCAGTGTGAGCAGAGGGATGAACTGCTGCTGCCCGTTCAAGACCTATCACAGACTGGCAGCAGGAAGCTGACCTAGATTTACTGCTGAAAGGATAAGTTCCATCTTTTGTGAAAAAAAAATAATAGTCATGATTTTTCAGGTAAAAAATAATGAATTTATTATTTTTTTTACACTGCAGCCTTCAAAGATTTGCACTCGCAGTCAGTGGATCAAAGGTGCAATGTCAGGCTCCTGCAGACACTCTAACAGAGCTGCACCAGATTTTGCACTCTCCAGTTTTAGTAAAATAACCCCACATTTCCGGTGCATTTTAGCACAACTCAACAAATCGATATGAACTACCTATACATAATGGTGTACTGTGTTAAAAAAAAAAATGATGCATGTCTTTTAAAATGTGCATTGTGGTTCTTCCAAATTTGTCTGGGAGAGTTTCTCGGTCGCAAGATAGCCGCCTTGGGTTTTCCACCCCGTATGGAGGGAAGAACAAACAAATATAGGGAAATTCAGTTGAATTGCTGCATATATAATTGTCGCAATTGTATAAGCTATATAATTGAATGTTATTAAAAATGATCTTTCTTTTGCAGTCTGCTGCCACTGGTATTTTCTGTAAAATGTTATGCAGTATGGCAACCTGGAGGCATTCTGTACACAGATGGTATACAGAACGCCCCTCAGAAATGTTATTTCCTGCTTTTGTGATTGGCTCACTGATTTTCCCAGGCGTCTGCACTAAAATACAGATTTTGGGCATCCCCTGCAACCAAAATGTCATTTTTGGTGAGATACTCCAAAAGGGAAATCACATCCAAAGGGATGCAGACCTTGTCACTCTCTTCATTAGAGCCCTGCAAGTGCAGCAACTGACTGTTAATTATAAAATCACTCCCATACAGATTCACTCTGCACATGGACACAGACAAACAAACAGCTATTTCTTCAGAATAACAAAAGGTAGGAATCTGCAACAAAGTTTGAAAATAATTGCAATGTACATTGATCACCCAGAGAAGAATT